TTTTAGAATTTTATTCTATTTTATATCTTTAGGGAAAAAACAGTCTAGGAGAATATACCCTAGAATGTTAATTCTAGATTTCACTTTCTGACTTTTTTGTATTTTTAAATTTTGGTTTTCTAGAAACAGCTTCCTTGAACTACAATTCACACACCACACAATCCACCCACGTAAAATGTACAGTTCCGCGGTTTTCAGGACGTTCGCAGAGTTGTGCAGCCATCACCGCAACCAACCTGGAGCCTTTTCTTCTCCCCGGAAGGAAATAAATCTGCCTGCCCTTCAACCATCGCCGTTTTCTGCGGCAGACGCGTCCCACGGCCTGTCCGCTGACTCCGGGGTCCTCCCACTGGCCGCGGTGCTCCGGTGCGCTGTGTCGCGGCAGGTGTCAGTCTCTGTTCCTTCCCGCAGCTGAGACCGTCGGGGATGTTGGGCAGACCACGTCTGTGTGTCCGTCAGTCGTGGGTACCGGGTTGTCCCTCTCTTGGCTGCGGGGACAATGACATGAGCGAGCACAGGCGCCACGTGGACGTGCGGACTCGCGTGTCTGAGTGCGTGGCCGGGCAGGATCGCGGGGCCACGTGTGTTTGCCACTCCGGAGTGAGGGCCGTGCTCCGCGTCTCTCCTCCCACGCGGCTGCTCCGCGTCCCACCGCGCGGGACGGCTCATCCGTCTGGGCACAGCCACCCTGGGCGTCTGTTCTTGTTTTCACGACGTAAGCCCCTCTTCCGTGGGTTTTCACTCTTAAAAAACAATTTCTTGTTTTGAGATGAAAAGAAGCATTTTTTTCTATAAATGTGTCTTGTTTTAAAGCAAACAAAATTCAGATCCTAAAGGAGTAAAAAAACACAGGGAAATTCTAAAAATTTGCACATAAATCTAATTATGAATCAGCTTACCGTGAAAGATAATGTCTTACTGGGATATATGTGCTAACTTTTTGGCTACTGAATTCTACCTATGATTTAATCTCAATCACTTTAGACCCAAATAGCCACGTCGGCCGGTGGGGTGGGCGGAAGAGGGTCGGGGAGGTCTGGTCTGCGGACAGGTGGTCGGAGGCTGCGCAAACAGTGCGGCCGAGCTTCACGCCTGGGGACTTGTTTTCCCGCCGGGTGTGTGGGTGGGAGAGACGGCGTCGTAACAGCCGCACGACTGAACTTAGCTTGTCCGCGGCTGAGTGAGTCCCGAGATGCTCGCAGCAGCCGTGGGGCCGTTCGCGGGCACCAGCCGCAGGTCTGAGAGCCGATGGGCCGCCCTGGGCCCTCTCGCCCCGGTCACACCTCCCGGGTGGCCAGGCAGGGCTCAGAGCCGTTGTTCTGCCCACTGCGCTAACCTGAGCAAGCGCGTGAGGAAGTGAAGAAAACACGCGCCCGGGAGGCCACTCGCATTCACCTCCGACCTTCCCGGACTCCATCTGCCCTGCATCTCGGGGTCCTGCCTCCTCGGGACGACGGGCACACGCATCTCCCGCCTCCACCCCGAGCCCAGGGAATGGGCTGTGCCTGCAGGTCGGGTGTGGGTTCAGTCCGCGGGCTCATTCTCAGAGATTTTAATTGTCCGGGAAAGATGGGGAGATGCCCCAGTAACTTCTCTGGGCTTTCTTTTGGGTTATTTTGCATTCTCCCAGAAGTTTCTGCAGGGCTCCCTGGTCATGGTGAGGTGGGCCTTGGATTTCGGGCAGGCTCTGTCAGGGTCACTGCAGGGAGAGGCTCCTTCTTGGGGGGCCTTCGCTCTCCCTGGAGCTGCCCTTCTTGCTGTCCCCGCCTGCCTCGGGGCCTTTGCGCCAGCCGCTCTGCTGAGCCGCCTTCCTCACCCTCCCGCTTAAATCTCTCTGACGTCGGTGACCCTGTTCTGCGTTCCTCATCGTGTGACACTCTGTCTCCTGGGTGTAGCCTCTGCCCCTCTCGACGTTGGCCACCTCGGCGGTGGGCCCGGCCATTCCCCTGCCGAGGAACGTGTTTCCTGAAGATTCGAGATGACTCTCAGGTTAAACAGGGACTTAACTTTATTAGTTTAAATTTAAGTTTAATGTTAAAGTATAAAAACTGTGTGAAATAAGGAGAAAAAGCATTAAAACAGGCCAGCGAACCACCCGAAAACGACATCAGAGATGCAGCGCAGAGCGCACGCCTCCCTCCCGTATCTGAGCCGCGGTTCTGGCTCCAGGCTCTCAGTCACTGGTGCAGAGACGGCCGTGCGGTGCTCGGTGCTCATCTTGGTGCTGTGTTCTGGGAAGGGCCCACCTGGGAGCCGGCGGAGGCCGGGCCGAGGGGCTGCCGTTTTGAGCTGGGCGGAGGCCTCGGGCCTTTGGTCCTCAGAGCTCAGCCCTGGAGCAGCCAGAAAGACCGAGATGTGGAGGCTCCAGGCTGGTTTCTGACTCGTGCCGGCACCACGGCGCTGTGTGCCGTGTCCGCGTTGTGGCCCCTGAGAGCTGGCGCAAGGACAGAGAGGAGAAACCCGAGTGTCCCATGAATTATCGTTAAGTCTTAGTGCGAGCCCCATTCGCGCTTTGTGGTTCTCCGGGGCCGACGCCTCGGCTCTGGGGTCTCGTGGGTGCTGATGTGGGTGTCCGGGGGTCCCCACTTGCTCATGGCCCCTGTTTTGGGTTTTTCCTGTGGGTCGGGGATGAGGCCTGTAGCGTACCGTCCCCGTCCAGAGTGACAGGTGTCGGGCTCTGCCTGGGAGCCTGCATGAGCCCGTGTGTGGGGGAGCGTGTGTCCTGCAGTTCATCCCGCAGCCCCCGTGACATGACGCGGGGTTGGGACTGGGGACAGGCCTCGCGCCTGGCTACTGAACAGTGCACTGAGGGGTGAGGGGCGTGTGCACACGGTCGTGCCTTTGCGTGTGTGTGGGCACAGCCGTGCACACACGTGGACACATCCACTCCCACTCCCACTGTTCCCTCCACAGTTTCAGGTTTCCCTGGAGATTACGCCCTGGACCGTCACGGTGTTTTTAAGGCCCTTAGTTGCAGAGAGAGTCCCTGGGAACCGAGGGATTACGCCTGTCGTGCGGGGCGTGGGCCGAGCTGGAGGTGGCGGGGCTTTCCTCCTGGTGGGTCTGTCAGCGTCAGACGCGGACGGTGCAGCTGGAGCCGTGCGGACCCGGGCGGGTCAGGCAGCCTCGTCTGAGCGCAGAGAGAAGACGCCACGTGACAGAGTGTGTTTAAAAGAAATGTGATTTTACAATAAGTGTTTGTTCTTTTTTTAGAGTTGAGGTCTCACTCTGTCACCCAGGCTGGGGTGCAGTGGCTGTTCACAGGCGGGATCACAGCTCACTGCAGACTCGAACCACTGGGCTCAAGCGAGCCTCCTGCCTCAGCCTCCCGAGTAGCTGGGAGGGTGCCACCACTGTGCCCAGCTAAACCTGCTAAACTAGGACGCCGTCACTGGGCAGTCTGGGCATTCTGCTTCCATCAAAAGACAAAACGATGTTCCTTGTTGCATGTAAATGCAAACTTCTCTGTATCCAAGACGCTCAAAAAACAATCTAAGCATTTTAGGTCTCCCTTTGAAGATTTTGTTGTCATTACAAAGAAGTGGTTCTCTAAGTAAACTTTATCCACTCTGTGAGCAAATTATAAAAATTGTGAAATCAGTGAGATCCAAATGGAAGTCGTCTGCCCTCGAGGCGGGTCTGAGGAGCGGAGGCAGGTGCCGTGTGGGCTCCCTGCTGTGTCCCTTCCAGTGCCGAGGGCGAGGCAGGGGCCCAGTGTCACCTGTGTCTCCCGGTCTCATTTGCATTCCCGGTGGCGTTTCTCACGTGCTTGTTGGTGATACATCTGTTCAAGCCTTTTGCCCGTTTTAAAATTGAATTGTCATCTCATTATCGGGTTGTATGTGTTTAGGATATAAGCCCGTTGTCAGATAACTGATTTGCAAATACTTTTTTCCAGTCTATGTTTTCATTTTCTCAGTGGTGTCGTTTAAAGCATAAAGGTTTTTAATGTTTTTGGTTTTGGCGAAGTCTGATCTACCATTTTTTTTCTTTTAGCCATCGTGCTTTTGGCATCATATCTGAGAAATCTTTACCCAACTCCCGGTTACAGATTTACTTCTGTTTTCTTCTAAGAGGCTTGTAGTTCCAGCCTGACACTGAGGTGTGAGCTCCCTTTGTGTTAATTCCGTGTGTGGGTGAAGGCCGCGTCCGCAGCCGCCGCCTGGCGTGGAGACCCCCCCTCGGCCACCCACCTCTTGGCCAGCCCCATTGTCTTCCTGTCGCTTATGACCAAGCGAGAGCGGCCACTTTGCTTCCCACACGAATGACTTTATGTTTCCTGCTTCGGACCTCAGCTATAAAAGTGCGCGCGTTCTGTCAGATGTCCTCCTGTTTGTAGCTGTGTGTGAACCGCAGTCGTCGCTTGACTTCCTAGGCAGCTGATCGGGTCCAGTGTGGTGTCGTTTGGCACAGCGACCCGGCCCCTCCTTGCCCGCCAGCCTGTGCGGGCCAAGAGCAATAGGGAGGTTTGTTTGATGACAGATCCCACTGGCTTCGTGCCTCTCGACGGGGGTTTGCAGTTTATTGTAAGTCCCCATCTGTGTTGCGCTGCATCTGTGGGTGACTCCCACGTGGGTGGGATGGGCTGTGCGCTCTGCGCATGGGGTCAGCGTGGATGGCCGCCCAGTCAGGATTTTGCACCGAGTTTACTGTCAGTGCAGAGTGAGCCACCGCCTGCCCCAGACCAGCCACCTTCAGAACGTCGCGAAGGTCGTGGAGTGTGGGCTGAACCTGAGCACAGACGGTAGAAACCATTTTGTTCATGGCCACGGTCGGCATGGAGGTCTCTGGTTTTCCTGCACTGCCGGCGGCCACACCAAGCGCAGAGACTCATTCTTTCAGCCTGAGGGCCCGAGAGTCCGTTTCTGCCCCGATCGAGGAGCTGCGGTTTCACGTCTCACACGTGAACTGCAGTGCAGTGTGTTTTTATGGCATGTGTAAAGATCACGCGTGTGCCTGCGGCCTGCACCCTAACACTGTGCCTCTGCTTGTCTGTGCAGCCCCTTCTACGGAGAAGACTTTTACTGTGAGATTCCTCGGAGTTTCCGTCACCTGTCGTTCTACATTTTTGATAGAGACGTTTTCCGGAGGGATTCCATCATAGGTAGGTACCCAGACGGATGTTCTCTTCCCGTTTCTGCCGCTTTGCACGGGGCCCCATCCTGGCAGAGTGAGCGTCTCCCCCCCGCACCCCTGTCCTGGGCTGCGTGGGAGGGGGACGTTGGCACTTCAGTCTAGAGCCTCCCTAGGCTACTGCACGGGTGCCGCGGCCCTCGTAGGTCGGTTGTGCCTGTGCCTGGTACGGCAGCCTGGCCTCGGCGGTCCCACGTCTCCCTGCGCCGCTGAGCTTCACACCCAAGAGCTCGCGTCAGGAAACAGATCACGCCTCCCAAGGGCCCGCTGGGGCCTGTCTGCAGAGGGTCCTTTGCGGCACGTGCGGCCCCTCCCTCCTCGCGACCAGGCTGCTCTTCCTCGACTCCTGTGCGTGCCCCACGGTGTGGACGAGGAAAGGGCCAGAGGGTTGGGGACTAGGCAGGTCTGCGCCAGAGTCCCTCTGAGCCACTGACATCTCTGAGCCTCAGTTTCCCTCTGGTGTTAAGGGGGTGGCAACACCGTCCCTTTCCCAGGAAAATGATGTGTGAGGGGCAGAGAGGGATCCTGGTGGGGCAGGCCCACGGGCAGCTCCTGCTCGGTGCTCACGTCAAGACCGTGTCGTCCAAACCACCTGTGGTGCCGTCGCCGGGAGCCGACTTCAGGTGGCGGCTGGAGGCTTTCGTTTCCGGATGCGCCGGAGGACCCTCTGGGAGCAGACCTCGCGGACCGGGCAGGAGGCTGCACGTCGGCCGCAGCCCTCCTGCGACTCGTTTGAGAGTGAGGGAGGGAGCAGGGCCGTGCAGGCCAGAACCCCCAACTCGGGAGGACGATGTAGACCCCGGGACCAGATGCGCCCTGGGGACCAGGCCTCTGCTGCCTGGGCCGCCACAGCTGTGCCAGACGCCGCAGTGGCAGAGGCGCCTTGTCCCCCTCTGGCTGCTGGAATCCAGTCCCGGTCGATGTTCTGATGAGGACCAGGAAGAGGAGGGGGACACTGCTGCCCACGAGGGGACACACCCTGGGCCGGGCAGAGGCAGCCGGACGCCTCCGCAGAGGGGCCCTGGGGTGTAGGAGGCCAAGAAGAGACGGGGGCACGTCTTGCCGGGGGCGCCACCCTCACACCCCCTCACGCTCCTCACGCTCCTCACACTCAAGCCTCACACCTGCCTCACGCTCGCCTCACACTCTCCTCACACCCAGCTCACGCCCCCTCACACTCCTCATACGCCTCAGTCATCTCACACTCGCCTCACACTCATACTCCTCACGCTCCTCACACTCCTCACACTCAAGCCTCACACGTGCCTCATGCTCGCCTCACACCCAGCTCACACCCAGCTCACACCCCCTCACACTCCTCATACACCTCACAGTCACCTCACACTCACCTCACACTCACACTCCTCACACTCCTCACAGTCATCTCACACTCGCCTCACGCTCATACTCCTCACGCTCCTCACACTCATACTTCTCACACTCACACTCCTCATACTCCTCACACTCACCTCACACTCATACTCCTCACACTCTCCTCACACTCCTCACACTCAAGCCTCACACCTGCCTCACACTTGCCTCATACCCAGTTCATACCCCCTCACACTCCTCATATTCCTCACTCTCCTCACACCTCACACTCCTTACACTCACTCACCTCAGATTCTCCTCACACCACCTCACACCACCTCACACCTCACACTCACACTCTCCTCACACTCATACTCCTCACAGTCACCTCACACTCATACTCCTCACACTCTCATACTCACGTTCCTCATAATCCTCACACTCACCTGACATTCCTCACACTCACCTCACACTCCTGATACTCTCCTCACACTCCTCACACTCTCCTCACACTCCCCCTCACTCGTTCCTCACACCT